TTGTTGTAGGCCGTCTAATGGGCTGTGTTTCCACCCAGAGGGATCGGTCACAGGGCAGCCTGACTTGTAGGCATGGGAGGGGCTGCCTACAATTGATGCCTTGGGAAGGGAACCAAAGGTTCCTCCATCTGCAAAATGTTCATCGTCATCCAGTGCCCTTTCCTTTTCTCACACAACCTGAATTTCCCACCATAGAAATCTGGCGTCTGGAAGGGAAGATAAAGTCCATCCCGACTGTGGAGATTGGAAGACAGGAACCATATTTCATTAATCTTTATATCCACGCATGTCTTTACTCACACCCACTCCTCCTCCCGATCAGTGCCCCAGAAAGTCCTCTTTCCCAGCTTTCAACAAGGATGATGCTCCTGAAAATACTCATCTGAGTGAGGAAAGCTGCCAGCCTGCGGCTGTATCTCTGAGTCTGGGTATTGAAAGTGGGTTTCTTCGGGAGGTCGCAAATTGTGCCTATGAGTGCAAAGATGTTGCTGCTAACCCAGGACAAAAGGCTGGTGAAGATGATTATATTACTGTGATGAAGGAGGAGGGAGAAGAAGAGAAGGAGGTGGGGTAAAGGAAGAGCTAACCAGGGCATTTTTTGTATGGCAAGCACTTTTCCATGTGTTTTCATGTGTGAGCTCTTTTAATCATCACATCAAACTTAGGATGTAGGGACAAATTATACACCTATTTTACAGATGCCCAGACCAAGATCAATCAGCAGCTGGTAAGCAGGAGGGACAGTATTTGAACTCAGAGGGGCATGACTGCAAAAATGCATGCTCTTATTAACCAGTCTGCTAGAGCAGAGAAGCTGGAAGGGAGAGCTGGGAGCCCAGGATATGTGGATAATTATCCGACTAGCCGTGTGTGTGTGTGTGTGTGTGTGTGTGTGTGTGTGTGTGTGAGGAAATTAGCTAACTGTCTCCTCAAAGTTTCAGAGAATCTTATCTCTTGGAGTAAAATTCAGTCGTGCTAGGCTTATATTTAGGGGTTACATTTTCAAACTTGTTAAACAAATAAGTCATATAATTCTACAGGCCATGTAAAGTCTGCTTAAACATCCCCCCAAACAGAAGTCTAATGATCGAGTGGTTTCTGTGAAAGTTCTTCATTTATAGATTAATTTGTTCGCCCATTGAATGTAGTATAATTCCTAGTTGAATAGCTGTATTCTGGGAGTCGCTGTAGTCAATGAGCCATCACTGGAGTGGTTCTTTCTGGTCCCCTTCAATAAAGCATATCTACACACATTCTATATAACATTTCTCCATTTTTTTCAAAAATTTATCATCTCCAAAATTATTTTTTCATTAACTTTCTTACCACCTGTCTCTACACTGGAAAAATCTGTTTGGATAAGAACATTTGTTACCCCAGGGATGTGCATGGACTGACACAACCAGTTATTGTTGTGTTAATGGGAAAAAAAATGGTAAAGATGGGAGTCACCGATGAGTGGTACTCTAAAAGAGTAGGGAATGTTCTAAGATTAAAAAGGACAGAGAGAAAATTTAGAGTCAGTGTTTTTATTTGTAAATTTGTGTGACGTATCTTAATACTGCAAGTACAAAGGTCTGACTGCCTGGCTTGGATATTGAAGAAAGGCATAACTATTAATCTATCAGCCTGTTTTGAGAACTTACATTAGACCTTGTTTTTAGGCTGTATGTTGTGAAGTCCAGCCAATATATACTACAAAGTCATAGATCAATATATTTTATATGTGCATGTGTATGTACATTATATATATATATATATATATATATACACACACACACACACAATATGTCACTATATATACAAAGTAGTATATATTGAGTAATTTAAGTTGAGATGGCCTGACTTTACTAATACTTATAAACATAATTTGTCACTGTATTGCTTTGGATATCTGCTTAATTTCTGTTAGAATCAAAGTGTTAACACCTGTTGAGTAATATTTCTTAACTATTTAAAATAATATACTTCTTAAACTGCACACTTCTTGGAGAACAGTTAGCTCAGTTTTAGGGATCTATATGAACGAACCTCAAGGAAAGATTTTTTTAATGAATTAAATATGTGTAAGCCCTACCTTCTGAACCTGGTAAACCAATGGCAATATGTTGAAAGACAGACATTGGAAAAAGATGTGCTTCCCAAGGAGTTAACTGAAGGTTTGATTAATAGGATCTCTGTAAACGGATAATAACACCTAAAATGAGATCTTTACAGTAGTTTATTCGAAACTGCTGAACTCCAGAATGAAATATTTTATCCCATAGGAAGACAACAGTTACTTTTATATGCATTTTCATTAGTCACCATAGTGATTTGGGATTAAAGAGAAATGACTCTTTTTATTTAAGCATGTAAAACTCTGGGTTTATACATATATGTGTGTGTGTGTGTGTGTGTGTGTGTAACACTCTGGGTTTATATATATATATCCATAAGTGAATCTTTGTGTACTATACACACACACATATATATGTATGGTTACATTATGGTTTGGAGTTACAGTGGAATATGTAAAAATAAGTCCATGAGAGGTAGAGTAATATTCCAAAACCAGGACTTCAGTTTGTTTGTTTTTTTAATGAATTTTCTTCAGTACTTCTCATTTCTTGACTTGTGCTTTTTCTGGGACAAACCTTTAAGAATTCAGTTTTCAGCTTACACATTTCAAAGTTATTATTTCAGCTACAGCTAAATTCTGCCATTTGAAGATTCCTGATTAGACTGCAGAAGCCTGCTGGTTAAAACTCTTAAGATTTTTTTTTTGGACTCATGTGTTTTTATTTGTAATAACACTTTGTTAGGTATTGAATATCTACGATGTGTGGAATGCACTAATGTTTCTACTTGTTGATACTGTCTATTAATGGTGCACATGAAATTTCAAGACATATTATTTCTCCATTTGGAGGTATACCTCTTTCGTATTCATTAATGAATCTAGATTGTTTCATTATACTCTCAAATCTTTATGAAAAATGAATTGTTACCACTTTTTTTTTCCTTCATTAACCATGTACGTAGGTCCTCCAGGTCTCAAAGGTGATAGAGGATCGATTGGCTTTCCTGGAAGTCGAGGATTCTCAGGAACACCGGGAAGACCAGGTATTATGATTGTGTATATTTTCTTTATAGAATATGTCAAATAAATACCACATCATAGCTATTCCTTTCAACTTCTCAGGTAACAAAAACAATGGTCATCATAGTATGAGTAGTGGCACTCACATGCAGTTCATTTTGTCACCTGAAACATTTTGAAATGGATTTCTGTCCACCTGAGGAAAGTTTCTATGTCCCAAAGGAAAATAGTTTAATATAAAACCACAACAGAGAATCTCTCAACTCCAGACCACCATAAATCACCATGAAGAATGGCATCTATCTTAGAATAGAGAGAGTGGAAAGACAACAAAGAAAAACAGAGAAGCAAAGTATTAACACCCCTTTAACCAAAACAGACCCAACCCTGTTAAGTTAGCAAAATACAGGTAGACCTGAAATTCTATCCTTTGCAAGATGAACTGCCTGCTATGGTATATTAGTACTTATCAACATTGTTTGGGGCCTTTAAAATTTGCATAATGACAATATTATTTCTGCTTCTTACGCCAGTAGCCTAAGCTTGAATTGTGAATTTTGCACAGAAATTTAAAAGGGAGTAGGCGTGTTGTTTCCTAACTTCAAAGTCAATTATGACCAAGAGAATAGAAGCCTTATCATTGAGGGTTTTATTTCTTTTTTCTTCTTTTTTGTAACAGATTTTGTTTTTTAGAGTACTTTTAGGTTTATAGAAAAATTGCCCAGAAAATGCAGAGATTTCCCGAGAACCACCTACCCACATAGAGTTTTCCCTATTTTTAGCATCTTGCAGTAGTGAGGTGCATTTGTTAGAATTGATGACCCAATGTTGATACATTATTATTAACTAAGGCCCACAGTCTGTATTAGGGTTCATGCTCTGTGTTATACATTCTATGGGTTTTTACAAATGTATGGTGACATGAATCCACTGCTAGTGTACCATTTAGAATAGTTTCACAGCCCTAAAGATTCCCTGTGTTCCCCCTACTCATCACCACACTCCTCCCTACCAACCCCATGATAACCAGTGATCTTTGTGCTGTCTCCACAGTTTTGCCCTTTCCAGAATGTCATCTATTTGGAATCATACTATATGTAATTTTTTCAGACTGGCTTATCCCATTTAGCAATGTGCATTAAAGTTTCTCCATATCTTTTTGTGGCATGATAGCTCATTTATTTTCAATGCTTGGTACATTCTAATATTTGGTTGTACCACAATTTATTTATCTACTCACCTGTTGAGAGATACCTTGGTTGTTTACAAGCCTTGGCAATCAGTGAAAGATGCTATAAGCATTCACGGGCACATTTTTGTGTGGGGGCACATTTTTGTGTGGACATGAGTTCACCTAGAAGTATGATTGCTGGATTGCATGATAACTAACCCTATATTTAGCTCTGTTAGAAACTGTCAAACTGTCTTCCAAAGTAAATATACCATTTTGCACTCCTACCAGCAACAAGTGAAAATTCTTAATGCTCCACATCTTCACCAGCATTTGGTGTGGTCAGTGGTTTGGATGTTAGCAATTCTAACAGGTTAACATAAGGTATTTCTGACAGTATCAGTGTCACACTGTGTCAGTGGCAGTCAGGCTTGGGGAAAAAAAATCAACTAACCATAAGTAAACAACCTACAGTAGTCTCTACCAGAGATCTGATGACTTGAATTGAACGGCGTATTTATGTACCAGTCATCTCTAAAACCATGTAGCTTTAAACCAATCAGTTCTTTTTAGCAACATGGGAAAGAAGCATTTGTTAATTTGTTTGAAATCATCTGTATCACTCGGGAATTTCTTATATGGGCAATTTGTGTTCAACAGATACATGTATTTAAAAACTTTGAATTGGGCAAAAATCACAAAGCTACTTACAGAATCCAAGATAGTTCAAAATAATTCTGTGAAGTGGGAAAGAAAACTTCTTTTATCTGTGTTCTAAGTTTAAAGTTAAAGTGGTACATTAGCCTGTTTCAAATAGATTGTCATTCGTTATTTCTGGCAAAATCATGATGAGGTTTTGCTGGGAGTCTTTCTAGTGCAGTCTATTTGTAACTTCCTATTTACACTAAATCATAAAGGTTAACTTTACAGATGCGAATCACTATGAGCTACAAGTCAGTCAGTTACTAATTTGTCTTTCAAGAAAGCCTACACAAAAAGGAAACAGGTGGCAGAAATTTTAGGAATATTAAAACGGCCTGTTTCTCACAACCATCTATATACATAACCCACAGCCTTTCTCTCAGGGTGGTCAGGGAAGAGGGCAGGAATAAACCACAGAAGAGACAGGTAATTAGAGCACGACGTAACATTTATGCCAAGAAGGTGATGACTTGCATGGCAGGTGTCTGAGGACTGGTGGAAGAGAGATCGAGAAGCAAGAACAGCACCCCTCCCGTGAGATGAAACTGTCACCATTGAACTCTCTTGTTGGGAGTAAGCGGTGATCCTCCAGACACACCTTCACGAACGGGACTGTGGGTAAAACAGTGGCAAAGGGCAGGGTCGTAGCGATGTTTCCACGCTTATCTGAAGCTTACTTGTCCCTACATAAAGCAGCATCTCTACCACACTTCTAAGTATGTGAAGGGGGTTTCTCAAAGCCAGAAGTAACTACCTAGAGGTTTAGACACCAGTCAGACCTTCCTAGCTCCCCCCGGGAGTGCGGGAGTCCGGATCTCAGCTCTCCCAGAAACCCCTTCACAGCCCAGTCTTTGGGATGTGCCACACTAAAGAAACAGGAAACACAATAGACAAATTGTAATGGGGAGAGAAAAGTGAGTTTTGGGGTAAGATGGGAGACATCAGGCTTCCTGGGAGAGGTGGGGAAGGCACAGTCAAAGAAGGAGAGGGAAAATGAGCCTGAATAAGCCTCAAACTGCTTACGCCTCAGTTTTGCCTGTTTTGGAAAATGGAACATTTAATGCCCTGGTACGTAATCTAAGAGAATACATATATAAAGGACTGACCCAGAAAATGCCAAGTTCATAATAGGGCTTCTAAAATGGATAGCTATCATCCTCCTCCTCGTCCTCCTCAGCAGCATTGTGTTTGCATATCTGTACTTTGTTCCACCTCGATATCTAGATGACCTTGTGACACTGTCTTCATTTAAGACCAGCGTTGTGAATTGCCTTAAATAAAAAGAATTTGTTTCCTTTTTTTTTTTTTCTAAGGAAATCCTGGACAGAAAGGCCAGAAGGGGGAAAAAGGGAGTAGAAGCACGCTAAGTAAGTCTTGACTTTCTTGTTTGTCGTGTGTGCCTTGGGAATCAACAAGCCTGTGGTCATGGTGGTCTGTTGAGACCTTCGATGTTAATCCACAGAGCGTCTCTAGAAGTCAGCCAGTTTCCTACAAATAAACGGTGCCGATTGGAGCAAAGCAAGTAGATTAAATTAAGCGACTCTAAATCTCATTACCCATTTGTATTTAGTTTTTATGATGAGCATACCTTTCTAAAAATTTACGTAGAAAATTGTTCCATTTTCAAGCCAATTTCAATCTGCTGAAGGAAAATTAAGCTTATGAATAAAAACAATTACAGCCTCCTTGCCTACTAACTGAGGTAGCTGAAGAGTCACATACAGGAATTTGGACGTTCTCAGAACCCTAGCAGACTCATTCTCTGACAGCTGCGTGTTTTTTTTTTTTCATTTTGTTTCTGTTTTAATAAAAACTTGAGAAGTAGTATTTGATATCCCAGACCTTCAAAACAGCAACAGAATAGATTTCACAGCAGGGATCTCTGTGGATGGAATGCTGACCTCATGTTCCAGTGTAGAAAATCTGTAAATTGGATCTTTAAAAATGAAATATTAGATGCGATATCTTCTATAGTCATAATGCCGTTAAGTCAGTAGTCGTGTGTCTAGGCCAAATCTACCCGACATAATGAAAAGGTTATGAAAAGCAATGAGGAGTCTGCACTAGATTTCTCAGAAAACAAGTGTTCTTCCTCCATATTCCAGTAGGAGCTGTGTATGTGTGTGTGTGTGTGTGTGTGTCTATCTGTCTGTCTGTCTGTGGGACTGGCTGATACACGGACACAGTGATCATCCTGTTTACCCATCAAGAGTCTGTTTTAGACAGATTTTGGCAAATCCTTTGGTAAACCCCCAAATCTAGCAGTTTTCAGGTGTAATGATTGTCTAAGAAATACAGTATCAGTTTCTCTATCTTAGGAAAAATAATTATTTTAATCTCAAGTGCATGTGGATTCCACACTGAGGCAACTTCGGGTCACCATTGTGAACACCAACCATTAGGACCATTTCCATGATTCTTTCCCCAGAGTGCTTCGGTGTTATTCCATGACTATCGTGTTGTTACAGTTAAGATAATAGAAACAACAGGAAGTCTTCCTCCTCTTTCTCCTTTGGGTCCATTTACTCTTTAAAGTGATCCGTTTTGTCTGCTGTTAACTTTTTATTCTGTTTCTCTCCTTTCTCCTTGTCACTCCCTTTATCTTCATTTGAGCTTCAGGGCAACACTCTTCCCTACCTGCATGTTTATCTCTGCCTTTATCTTCATCTTTGGTTCTTCTTTATCTCCTTGTCTCCTTTTCCTGAGACTTGCTCTCAGCTTCTTAACCTTGACTCTGGTCAAGCGTGGGATGCTTTTATTTTGCAGACTGTTAATCCGACATCCATGCTGTCTTGTTCCCTGAGGTTATCAGATGCTTTGTACATTTTTAAAAAATTATGTTCAGAAACATTCTCAGTTACAGGTATTTTCATGGCTGTTTTGAAGTATATGTGCTTGCTTTCTTTGAGAAAGCATTATGAGAGAGATTTCTCTGTATAAGTGTCTAAAGCCTCCAGATTCCACTGAGAGTGTATCATTCCATGATGTTTCAGAAAGACAAAGAATCAGTATGTTCTGTTTTTGCCTTAATTTACCAGTCATCTGCCACTTCAGTATATACGGCTCTTCCTCTATTCTCTCAATGGCTACTCACTGTTCCATTATACAGCTCTACCATGATAACCATAATATAACATTCAGTCCCCTAGTCATGACACTTGATGCTTTTTGTTCACTTTGGTTTGGCTCTAAGAAACAGTGCCACATTCAGCATTCTCGTACATGATTTGGGGAGAATGTTTTTTAATAGGAGAATTTGCTGTTAGTAGAATCAATAGTTCAGAGGTGACATGCATTTTACAATTTGAAGGATTCTTGCAAATGGCTCCAAAAAGGTGATACCAAGGTATTCTGTATGATAGTGCCTGATTCCCCACATCTTCAGTGAATTCTGTTATATGAAAATTTATATCGAATTATTTTGCTACACATCTTTTTAATGTTTTTCAGGTGTGATTTATGTAATGAAAATAACCATTGATTTCCTTTTTTTATATATGTGTCAGGACCAGAATAACTCCCTGATCATATTAGGGCAGGCCCCTTTTAAGATCAGGTGAGTTGGGCGGGACACCATGTGCTACCATCTCATTAAAAGGCCCTTCATCTCTGGACAAGTCATCAGCACAACTGACTCCAAGATCCCTTTGTGGCTCCTCCAAACAACCTTGGCTCCCATGTGGTGCCTGGTTTCTGCATGGCTTCCTCGCCTGGTCCTTGGTGCTCTTGGGGCCTCTGCTTCCCTGCTCAGACTTCTCCCCACTCTCTTACCCACCCCCCCGTCAATCCCATCCCCTTGCCAGGACGCCTCCCGTGTTCTGACTGGCTGGCTGCTCCTACCCATGCAGGAGCCTCTGCCGGCCACTCAGCTAGTGTCTCCTGAATCCAACTTAACCCGTTGCGTTTTAGGAGAAATCTCATGGCTACTGATTATACGTGGGTTCTTTGTACTCAGAAACACTGGTCTCATCCAGAGATAGGGATGCCACACAAGAATCCATTTGTTCATTCAGTATACATTTATTGTGTGCCTCCTAGAGCTGGACTTAACAGCTAATAAGATAGCTCTTGTCTCTGGTCTTAGGGAGATAATTGTCCCCACAAGACAGACATGGAAACAAGCAATTAGACAATAGCAGAGCTGTGTTGGGGGAAGGACAGGGCTCCACTAGTGTTCAGAGGAGATCAAGATTTTTAAATTCCTTAGAATTTTAAGAAGGTAAACTGACTTTGATTGACTTGGTTTACCTTCTTGTATTCTTATTCTCCAAATTACAGCATATTTTGTTCAAGTTTCAGAGGTGAACCAGAGTTGGGGCCGTTCATTCAACACATTTGAGCCAAAAAAAAAAAAACCACCCAAAGCTTGTTTCTTTAAGTTACCTGGCCATTTCAAGCAAGAATGTTTTGATCATAAATAATAATTCTGAAATTTTTTTTTTATTCTGAAAAGCTCTTTTTGCCACATTGCTTTGTTCAATATCCTAGGTAAAAAAGCACATGTGAAAAAAAAGTTTCTAAGTATGCTAGTTGTGTAAATAAATAAAAACTGTCAAAACAAACAAACAAAACCCCCACACAACTCTTTGTATTTTATTCTTTAAAGATCCAGTATAGGTCCTGGAGAAAAAGAAATATTTCAGTAGAACTGGAGATGTTTTGTGTAGGTGAAGAAAGGGCTGAAAATGAGAAAGGAGAAAAAGTAAGAAAAGGCAAACCAAAAAAGGAAAAACCAGGGATTCCATGTTAGTTTTGAAATCTATTCATCAACAGTTTGAACTTGCACAACCGCCCTTTCTTTCATGGTCTAACACGTAGCCCTCAGGGTTCACAGCACTGAGTTTCCAGTATTGTTCTAATAGTGTCCCTAAGTGGGCCTCCCCACTTGTGTTTCCTCCCATGTAAATAATGTCTGTGTTGTGAGGGTCACATAAGGTACTGTGTGTACGCAGCTGGTCTGGAAAATCACAAAGTGGTTTCAATATGTGAGGTGTGGTTCACAGTGATCTCTCTGAACTGAAACCATTCTCCCTCGCTGGTATAATGCAGACATTTTCCATCTGTAATCAGAACAGAAGTGAGAGCAGAATGAGAATGCAAGAAGCCAAAGAAATGCCATGGACTGAAAGAGAGATGCTGGAGAGTCAGATAAGATTATCCATTAGATAAAGCAACGCAAATGTGACCGGATCACAAATCAGTTTATCTGAGCCAAGCAAAAGAGCCTAAGTTATAAATAAAAGGAGCGACTAAACAGAGTGTATGCCAGAGACCGGAAGCTGTCAACAGAGATCAAAACAAAATGTCAGGCTGATAAAACAGGAATTCCAGGCTCTGAGGAACAAAGCCTGAGCCCAAGACACTGATGAAGAGAAAGTTCCAAGAAGGGTTGAAACATATTAAGAGTTGTCAGTTGTACCCTGGGTCTGCGCCTGCTGACACCAGTCTCCAGGAATGAAGGGGCAGAGAGGAA